AACATCACCCTGCCCCAAGGTGAGTATTTGTTTTTTTTATTATGATTATTATTATTTGTTGTTTGTCTTGGGTTGGCTCAATTTTGAAAACTTTGTAAAGTTTATGTGTATAACATGTATCTCATAGTGGGAGAAATGCCACACTATCCAATGTTGGCATATAAGTAAATCGAATGTAGCAGAGCAGGTGAAGCTTTTTAAGCAGTGAAGTTGGTGAGCAGGGATCTGCTCTGAACCCCTTCTTGGTTGCAGTGGTGATAGACAGGTTAACTTGAGGTCATGGCTTGGACATCAGGGCTCGCAAAATTGCTAGCCCGACGTCCCGGGGCTAGCGCTTTTTCCAGTCGGGCTACCAAAATCTAAAAAAAAATGTAGCTGGGTAATTATGTCATTGGCATCGGTGAGCCAGAATTTGCGCTTGTTTTTTGCTTTCACTTTGCAATCGCGCGAACTGTGTATAGAGAGCGACAGTACTGATTGGTGAGTGACGATAATTTGTGCACCAATTCCTCTGACATCATCTTATCAATCGTTAGCTTACTATGAAAACATGACAAGTGAAATCTCCCGCAGCAAGCTTAAACATGAGAGGTTGATCGCGCAGAGAATCGCTGAGCGTTATGTGAGTGCGTGTGTAAAAGCAGCAGGATATATATTTGAGTTCTGCTGAGCCAAATAAGACAGGTCAGGGTGAAGAAGTGACAGCCAAAGAAAAGCTTACCACAAAACGGGAAAGTTATGACAAATCAGACTATAAGGCAAAAATAAAGTGCAGCTTTATGGTTTCATGGACAAAGGAATTTCTGTGGCTGCAGTATGACAAGCTAACTAACCAGGGGTGCACGTAAGTGGTCCGCAGGTGCGCATTCGCTGTCAAAATAAAAAGAGCGCACAAGATAAGAAGTTGCAACGCGCGTTTGCGTATATAAGATTTTCTGGAGGAGGACAGACATTTGTTTAGAACTCAGATGTCGAAGAAGCTCCTTTAAACAATTACTTTGGTGTGCGCGTTGCAACTTCTTATCTGGTGCG